AGCAAGGTCTGGCTTTGAAACAGAGAGCTCATGAACAACTCCATGGCATGGATCAGGAGTCAGCATGTGCCAGCGATCACTCCAGGAGGCAACTTGCACGCATCCACTCTGTTTTAGAGCTAAACCAATTTAAAACCATGGAGATGGGCAGGCTAAGTCAGTTGGCTGTAGGGCTAGAGAAAGGTCCTTACACTGTTTATTTTATTAGTACAAATATAACTCGAGAGGTTTTGACCCAAGAAGTGTTTATTAATACATTCCTTTGAAAGATAATAAAATCCTTTAAAATACATAATAAAAATGAAGCATCTTCCTTAAGGGAAGTTTCTTGACAGGTTTTGTAATTCATCCATCTATGAACCAAAAAGTAAGATAGATTCATTAAGATAGCTGCCATTTTATACAGTTTTGTGCTTCCCTCTCCCTAAAAATAGAGCAAGGATAATTGAATTGAAAAACCTAAAGATTCTCAAAACCCAATTACATAAGTTGCCACACTTGCTCTATTTTCCCCTCTTACTTGTATTTTAAAGAGGTCAAGGTTATTAAATACAGGCTCCGATATTCATACAGTAAGAAAATCAGGATCTAAACATACATTAAAGATTTTTCATACAGCATGAATTTGCCCACATAGCCTATATGTACTATGTTTGTTCACCAATTAGGCTATGAAGTTGATATTTTGATGTACACAGTGTGTGCAATTCATGCAGGTGAGATAATGGTGCAATGAAAAACTTCATTTCCCTCTCTGACTCATGTGTGTTTATAGTGTCCAAAGCTGCAATCCTTATTCTGGCTAATTTATTTTCCTCGGTGGGTGTGTCATCTCTGTAGGGACTGCAGTCTGATGATCCCGGTCTGCTCTGTTAATGTTGCTCTAACCTAAGCTTTTGCACTGCATTATGCAGAATTACAGCTCCGATACTTCTGCTTTAGAAACACACGCACACTTGGGAAGCCATGTTATTTCAATCTTATCCATGAATTTGTAACTTTCAATAGTGTGCTGACTTACAACAGTGTGGCACTATACATCAGATGCATGCTGCCTCAGAAAATTAATGCTGCATTCTGGCAACCATATGGGCAGCTGGCGAGCGGCCAGGAGACCAGCAGAGCACGACACTACCTTCACACAAACCTTCCCTATGCAAGAGAGCTGTTTGCATGAACTGCACCAGCCAAGGAGCAGAAATAAAGGGATCCTGTACATTGTTGTTGCTCATAACCATCAGATCCCCCAGGGACAGATGTATGCCACTGTGATTAATGACAGAAGCTGCACAGACAGCAGACAGACTCTTGCGGCAGGTAACCACATGGGCACCACACTTCTTGACGTCTCAGGGAATGGGGAGAATTGTAAAGGCCTCCTTGTATATCTATGTTTCTTCTTTATGGTTCTCTCTTCTTCTTGGTGCTCTCACCTCTGACAAAATTTAGCTTGCAAGCCCTACAGGGAAAGGCGTTTATCTTATTTGTTCTGTAAAATGCATATTTTACACTGAGTGCTGAACAAACAATCAGAATAATGGCTTATAGTAGCTTAGTTATCTTTAGCACCTCAAAAAAGAAAAGAACGCTGTTCAGTAAGGAAAGAAATAAAAAAATATTATTGTTAGCAAGAAAAGCAGTTTTTGTTTCCTGTTTGTTCTTTTGCTTTGCTTACCCTATTATTTTTTATCAAGTATGTGATCTTCTAAAGACTTAAATCTAACTCTTCCAGCAACTTCAGTTGGAGTACCTACAGGAATGACGGCCTGAATTGGAAACTCCTCAATCACTACGTAAATGATAAAAATCTCAGAAAGAATATACAGGAAAATTTATTTTATTGGTTTCAAGTAACTTTATGCAATAACTTAAATGGAAGATGCCTTGATGATAGCTCAAACACACAGTCCTGTTTATAATGTATTTTGTGTGTATAACGCTTTCCATTCATAAATATCTCTAAATTTTTTTTACAACTGTTCACAGGAATCATATCACTCTCCAGGCTTTACAGCAGCTGTTTTACTTCTCATTGCACTAGCCCTATGAAAAAAATAGGGATTGCAAGTGAAATAGCAGACATTTTCCACTGTAAACTAGCTGGTTCACTATAATTTCATGCTTTAATTGCCTGCACACTAGCTTTTCCAAGGAAATCAGAGCTCATGCTTTATCTCCCACAGTACAATCTCCATAAGCATACTGTCCTACTGGTTCACTTGGACAGCTAAATTCTTGTCTACATTATGATTTTTCTTAAATCCTGATTCTGTACTAAAGTTGCTGTCATTTGACTGTTGATGGCAACAACTTGTTCAGCAGGTACAAGAGGGCCTAATCAACAGTGTAGTTGCTGCTGGTATCTGACCATCAATAGCATTTCCATTGGTCCTGCCACACAGAAATACATTATAGTCACTTGGGATTTCTGAGAAAAGATATCTAAACATTATTAGCCTGCTTCAATTCTTCTCAGTTTGAGGGATTTGTTTGTATCCAGTCTGGAGTCTACCTATGGTTTAAAAATTCTGACTAGATGCAGCTAAATTAGAAATAAATAAATTTACAGCTGATTATATACACTGTGTGGGTCCAGCACAGTGATAATTTTATTCCTAGTGCTCCTTGGCATTTGAAAACCCAGGCATGCCAGCAACGCTAAATGAACTACTTTCAGTAGCCAGTTTTCCCAGAGCAAGCACCTCTTTTCCCCAGGAAAACCAATTTTATCTATAGAGCTTGTAACAGCAAAATGGTGATTTATGCACACCCTTCACCTAAAAGCCTCCATTCTAATCCTGAAGTAAACCATTCACTGTTTCTCACCCTGTGAGTTGAAAGCTCCCATTTCACCAATATCCAGACAGAGCCAAGCATCCAAATCAACACCACTCCACAAACGTCATCTGTGACAAGGCACGCAGCTATCTGCCTGGGTTGTGGACTATCACATCACAGATTTTACATGGTTTTGGCAGGCACTGCAGAACATCCAAAGCTATCTGGTAACACATTTTCTAAATACAGAAAAAAAATCAGCATACTTCCCCCCACCTTTTAATGTAAAAGAGTTATGTTTGTTTGTTTCCTTTTATCTACACTTCGAAAAGGAATATAGTATAGGTTTAGTATGATGGTATTACAAGAACTTGAGGTTTTGTGTCCCCCACCTCCAAGTTCTTCAAAGCCTCTCAGAAGAGCTTTCAACACCTCCCAAAGTTTGGGATCCAAAGAATAGGATCCCTTCCATCCTTAGAACTGTAGAGCCTGAATACGGCACAGTTACATATGTAGGGAAAAAGTGTAACTGACCTTCACCTGTAAAACCAGAACTGCTGGTAGGTAGTTATACAGGAGCAACACTGCTGGATAAAAACAATAATTTAATTGCTTAACATAGACAAGGCCTCTGAGGAATCTCCTTCCCATAAGCCAGTCAAATCAAAACTTCATCAGAAAAACCCACTCCTGTGAACTCCCTCTGCAAAGAGGAACTTCAAATATTTCGCCAGGTACGCTAAAAGGAAACAGTATTTCCCCTCTTTAACCACCCGAAGAAACCAAAAAAGATACACACTTGGGCAACCGAGTTCAGACAGGATTGTCCAAGAACAAAGTTTCAGAGGATGCCCAGTGCACAACAAATACGACCGCTGAAGTATTGGGGTGCATTACTTACTTCAGCGGCTTGAAAAACAAAAGCCAAACCCCAGAGCTAGACTGGATTCCAGCGTCTACACAATGGGCGATACCTCTTACAGCCAACTGACACGTTTTGTGAGAAACCACAGACAAACTACGTATCCAAAATCCATTAAAACGTATCTGATGGTTTAACTTCGGGTTAATCTCGAACTGTGGACATTTGTGTCAATACAGCCTCTTCAGACAATTCCTTTCACGCGGCGCTCCCAAAGCACTCCACAGACATGATCGAACGCGGCAGCGCCCGGGGCAGCAGCGGAGCGTCGCTCCTGTGGCTGTGCCGGGAGACACCGCGGCGACCTGGCGGGCTGGGGCCGCGGGGCGAGCGGCCGGCCTTGACCCGCGGCCCCCCCCGGGCGTGCACCCTGACCTCTGCCTGCGGGCAGGGAGGGCTGGGAAGCGGCGACATTCCCGCCCGCCCGCCTTAGCGCGTGGAGGCTACGGCGGGGCCGCGCCGGGATCCGCCCGCGGGGTCTTTGTTCCCGCGGCCGCAGCGGCCCTTTGTTGGTGCCAGCGCCCGCCCGCAGCCGGGGCTCCCGCCGTCGCTCCCGAGGGGCCTCCTGCCGGCGTCCCGCATCCCGCTCCCCGCCGCGCTGCCCCCACCGCGCCAACACCGCCACGTGTCCCCGGCCTCCGTGCGGGAGCTCCCGCCGCACCTGGCCGCGCCCCGCCCCGGCCGCCCCCGGGCCCGGCCGCCTCCCCGCGCCGGCGGGAGCGGGGGAGCAGGAGGGGAGGGCGGGACACCGGGGGCGCCCTCCGGAGGCGCGCGGCCGCCGCCGGCGGGAGGTGACGGCCAGCGGGAGCGCGCGCAGGCGCGCACACACCCCGGGAGGGGGGGGAGGAGGAGGAGGGCGGGCGGCCGGGCGGGGGCGCGCACGGCCGGTGTGTGAGGGAGGGAGCGAGCGAAGGGAGGGCGATACCCGGGGCGGAGAAAGGCGGCGGCAGCAGCGGCCGCTTCGCTTGGCTCAGGGCAGGCGAGCGGCCACAGGCGCTGCCAAGCGGGGAGGCACAGCGGCCGCTGCCGACTCGGGGCATCCTTCCTCCTCATCCCCGCCCCCTGCCCGCCCTTCCCCCTTCTCTTTCTCTCGTTCCTCGCTGTCCGCCGGGGCCGATCGCTGTCGGCGGCGCGATACCGGGGCGATTCCGCGGCGCCCGTGCCGGCAGCGGCCGCGAGGAGAGCCGGCCCCTCCCGTGCCCGGCCGGGACCGAGGGACCCCCGCTCCGTCCGGGGCCCGGCGGAGAGGGCCCGGCCCCGGCCCCGGCTCGGCTCCCCGGCGGCGGCGGGCTCAGCGAGGATGTCGGGCGGCGGCGGCGGCAGCCGGGAGGAGGAGCGGCGCAAACTCGCCGACATCATCAACCACTGGAACGCGAACCGGCTGGACCTGTTCGAGATCAGCGACCCCACAGAGGTAAGCGACCCCGCCGGGCCCCCCCCGCCCGGCCCGCCCGGTGAGACACCGCGCCCGGGCCAGGCCGCGCCCCGCGGGCAGCCAGGCCCCCCCCGCCGCCCCTCGGGCACGGCCGGGGAAGGGGCTCCGCTCCTCGGCGGGGAGCGAGAGTCGGGCCCCTCGCCCTGCCCGGGTGAAGGCAGGTTGCAGAGGACGGGCAGAGGAAGGGAGCGCAGGGCCAGAGCCCTGCCCTCCTCCCGCAGGCACATGCCGGCCCGACCCTGCGGGACGGGCGGCTCCGGGGCAGGCGAGAAACCCGCCGGGAGCTGGAGGTGGCGAAAGGGGGCGGGCAAGGGCGAAAATACAGGAGTAGACCCCCTGCCAAGCCCGAAACCAGGTACCTTCGTGGGCTTTTTTTTGTGTCTGACTGTGACTTTTAACAGAGCCGGCAGGCGGCTGGTGGAGGAGGAGGACTGAGAATCCCGGTGCTGGGCGCTTTTTTGTTGGCTGGCTTGTTTGTTTCTTTAAATATTCGGCTCCGTGCAGAAGGCGCCTCTTACAGAGCAACCTGCCGTAGTCCGGCGGCTCTCCGGGCCGCTGGTGCAATCCCCGGGGTGGCTTTCCCAGGGCGTGACGGACGGAGCGCTTTGGCTCTCCGAGCCTGCAGGCTGCCAGCCCGCCGCCTAAAGTAAATACCAGGAGCAGGTTCGTAGTCCTGAGTTCACATGTTGTACTGGAAAAACACAGCGGGTAATTTCTTCCTAATGAAATGGGTGTTTCTGATGGCTGAGAGAGGCTGAGTTTTGTTCTTTTTAAAAAAAAAAAAAAAAAGTAATAGTCAAACCACACCCTCCCGCTGCCCCTTGTCATGTTCTCTTTGGCTGGTTCGTGCTGTGCGTCTGGTTTGAAAGCGGCGGGGGGGGAGGGCTGGGGAGGCAGGTTGCAGCCCTGTTTGTGTGTGACAGCGGGCTCCCTGCTCAGAGGGTGGAGGCTGATCATGTGAGTGTTCCCGGGGAAAAGGAGGAAATTCACACTTGCTCTTGGCCTGGCCCTGGTCCTGGTTGTTTATTAACAGGAGCCTTTGAGAAATCACGTTGGCTCGTTCTTGGGGCTTGCTCCTGTTTCTGCACCCAAGTGCTGACTGTTAGCAGAGCGACAGTCTTGAAAGGTCTTGAAAGCAGTTTTAAAAATATTAACCCCAGTAGCTTGAAAAGAATTGCTTTGTGTGTTTTCAGTTCTGCTCATTGCAGGCTGTTTCTTGAACACCAAAATGAGGGTTTCCTGTGATTATTTCCTACGTCTTGCAATATTTATCATAATTAGAGTTCCTTGTGTGCGTAGCTTAGGTTTTATCAGCATCACTGTTGGCTGACAGTCGCTCCTTCAAAAAAGTGGGCTGAAGCTGGTGTGAAGGAGCCTTCATGACTGTGTTTGAGAACATAGCACAACCTTTCTGGAACTGCAGGTTGACTGCTAACTGCCTGTGGCTGAGCTTTTTATCCTATTCATGGGTTAGTCCATTCCCAGTACATTATAACTCCAGCCTGTTCTCTTTGTTTGTGGCAGACTGCCCTGCTGTAGTTTTGTTAGTAAGTAGTTTAACAAATCTTACAGTTTTTTAGGTCAGCTGTGCGTGTTTGTCTAGTTAACTAGACTTTGCACAAAAATTATGAGCTTCGTTATAGTTATTCTGGAAAGAAAAAATAATTTTACTTGTATTTGCTCTACACTTCTGCAGTTAAGTCTCTGAACCTGTATAGGAGCCTACTTACCACTATTGGTGGTGGCATTTCACTTGAACTGTTGGCAGTAAAAAATTAAGTGCATGCATATTTCCTTGAATGCATGAGCTTTTTAGCCTGCTAGTTCTGAAAGTGTTTGATAAGACTGCAGGTGCATTTACATCAAACTGGCAGCAGGTAACAGTTTATAGGTAAGGTATATTTTCTTTCCAGATAATTACACTTACAAATGTTCACATTTATTTTCACTTTTTCCCTGAGCTGACCCAAATTTGGCCATATTTTCAACCCAGATGATGGTGTGATTCACATGTGTACTATTTATCAGCTTAAATGAAAGCCCTTTTACTAGACTGCTTGAAAACTGACAATCCTCTGTTGTTTTCCCTGTTTTTCTAGGCTCAGCTTGACCATAAGCCACATCTTGCTTATTGTAGGGACTGCAGCAAGCGTGGCATCTGTGCAGATGCAGTAACCTGGATAGGATTTTTGGTTGTATGTGCCTGAGCTGGGTCAAACTGAATAATTTTAAACTGTCCGGACATGGTTGTTGGCCTGCTGGGTTAACTTTGCAGCTGGCACGTGCCCATGCTGCAGACTGTCATCCAGGAGCTGCTGGCTGTGTTTATCAGTAGACTTGATGCCTTGTAGTGATTCTCCAGGAATTTCTTCAGTGAAAACAGTCTGATTTAAGTGACTTGTAACTTTCCTATATAGAGAGAGTAGGATTTTCCAGAGGTGGTAAGCACTTCCTTAATAGCAGAGATTCGGGGAGCTTTATATTTTTTGTAAAAAAAAGGAAAAGTGAAATCTAATGTAAGTTGACAAGAGTTCTGACTGCTTAAGCAGTGACAGTACATGTGCACGTGCAGTACTTGCATGTGATGACCAACTGATGTACTTTGGTATTAGTTTGAAAGGTGAGACAGACCTTCTTCGGTGAGACACAGTTGCTCCAAATCCATTGTGTCCTCATCACTTCACTGCAGAGTGTAAAATGTGGCTTTGTTTTGAAGGTACAGTAGTATTTTGGAAGTAGTTTAAAGGTATGGGGTTTTTTTCAGGGAAGTGGTTCATGAAATGAATCCATTTGAATTCCTGTTAATATTTTATTGGGTAGACTAGTCCTAAGGGATTAGAGATCTACTTGTTTACTTGAGTCTTTTGAGAGTTAGAAACAAATTATTTCCTAAGGTGTGTTGCCTGTAAGACGTTGGAAAGAAAATGCCTTGGATAGGACATACTGACTTCTGTTACTGTTTCTTAACTTGTTTTGTGACATTAGCAGTTAACTAAGTCATTCAATGCTGCTTTTCCTCAGCAAAACAGGAATTAAAACTTTGTTGCATGCTCAGAGTTGAGTGTTCCTCTGTACCCCATGTGAGGAAGACTGAAGACTTCTTGGGAGCGAGGATTTCATATCTTCATTTATGCTTTCACTGAAGCCATTTGTGGACTCAAATACTTGAGAGCAAAGCGGTAATTTTGACTTTGTTAAGTGCTTACTTTCTCTAACAGTTGTTGCTGTTCTGAGAAATCTGTTAATTTGCGTTATTTTGATTCTGAAAGGGTTTTTAAAATTATTTTTTATTCAGATAGTAACTGAGAGAAGCTCTGTGGCTTGAGAAGCTTATAAATGAACAAAACCAAAACTCTGTTTTTAAAGTTCTAGCAGCAGTTTAAACTCTAATGTTGTCAGGAGTGCTGCAAGGTACAGACCTTTGCTAAAGATGTCTGTAATACTGGTCATGACTTAAACTTGATTAAGCTTTACTATGTCTATTTTAACTGGTGAGGCAGCTACTTAATCTGACAAGTTTGAAAAAAATACAGAAGTTTTTGGGTAAATGTGGGGTCAGTCATGATTTTATTTGTAGATAAATTAAAAGTCATATTCAGAATGAAGCAGTATGTTAACCCTTTTCTTTAATTGTTTCCCCTTGCCTTTGTTCCAAGTATTACCAATTTTTTGGATGCTTTTGATATTTGGCTTGTTTTTTCCCTTGGTTTTTTTTTTTTTTTTTTTTTGTCAAGGACAGAAATG